GGGAGGGGATGCCGCTCAGGTACTTGTCGCGTAGCTCCAGGTCCCCATACCCAGAGCGATCCGCCGGACCCTTGAACAGCGTGGAGAACTCCGCAGCGGTGCGTTTTTCATGGACCGACTTGTCCACGCATAGCTTTGCCAGCTCTACTTGTGCTGCTGCCTCGTCGTCGAGATTTCCAAAGCGGGCCCTGAAGGCGGCGGCAAAGGCCGCTTCGTTTGCGAACGGGGTCGTGGCCCCTTGCACACCCACCTGCACCGATGCGAGCTGGGCAAAGTAGGGAGTGGCCCAGGTGCGGGCATCTCCATCGAGCAGGCTGAGTGTGACCTGCACCTTAAGCTCGATGGTGGTCAACGACGTGTTGACCAGCCAGTAGATGCGCAGCTGCGACAGGAACCGGTTGCATTCGATGACTGTTTTGCCATCGTATCGGAGGGGAGGAGAAGCTTCAAAGTCTCCTTGTCGGGGGCGGCTGCAGGGAACGACATTATCGGCGTTGGGGGGGACGAAGGACGTTGCAGGGGCGGAGGCGGCTGTGGTGGCCTTCCGCTGGTCGAACTTCAAGAGGAACGAGTGCTCGAGCGGCCTCTTGGCGGAGTCGGTAGTGAAGGCGCTGGAGGAAGTTCGGCAGGGGGGTCACGTACGTCAGCGACTGCTAGCACAGGGGCGAGCGCTGTTGGCGAGGCGGGCCAAGCAGGATCCGCGGACTCGGACTCCGAGATTCCTTCTTCACTCGCACTCTCCTCAGGCTCAGGCTCTGGCGCAGGGCCTGGAGGGAGATCTCCTCGCACTTGACTTGGATCGGCGACGACAGTTTGAGGAAGTCGGGAGCTGGGGGAGACAGGGCGAGAATGCCGCGAGGTGGATCGAGATGCGAGGGTGCTGTGGGGGCCAAGGGGGTGTTGAGCCCGTCTGATTGCCTTGTAACGAGGGTGATCCTCCTCGATCGATCGGGGTGTCCGATTTGGGCACAGCTGCTGCTTGCAACGGTAGAGGACAGTCTCAGGGCCGTCTGGGATGTAGACATCGATGAGATCCTGAGAGTCGAATGCATGGATCTGGCCTTGACAGGCAGCCACGATGGATGGGGAGAGGACGGGGAGGTATGCGTACTACAAAGGCCGTGCTACGCTAGCTTACGCTACGGCGCCCGAGAAGACACTAGGGTTCGCAGTTCACGTGGGGCCCAGTACTGCTTTTGACTATTATGCAGCAGGAACCTAGTCCACGCGTCCATGAGAACAAGTACCGCCCACTGAAGTGCAGGTACTGAAGAGTTCGTTCCCTAAGTGGTGGCGATGTATGTACGCTATCTACATATCGTAATGTACCGTATGGGTGCGCACCACCCGACCTATGGGAAAGGAGAAGTGAGTGTGGGGGTTCCGAGAGAACGCCGGTCGCTATGGGAGTTTCGACCTAATGTCGCGACTTGAGGTCAAGCGACAGGGGAATATCTAAAAGCGAGGGGCGTTCGACTGGTTCTCACCAAAGCGATGGTGAGCGAGGCTCAAACCTAAGGCTAGGGACAAGTTAGTTAGTTATTGAAAGGTAAGTAAATACAGGGGCTTACTGACCTAGGGACAAGAGGTCGAAACTGAAGTCCCTAGGGCAGCAGAGGCCGGCTTATATACAGGGGAAGATGAGGGCAGGCTGTGCGCACTGGTCCGTGCGCAGCTGGTCCGTGCGCAGTATGCTGACGCGGCCCCGGGGGCCGGTGAGTCAGAGCGGCTGTGTCAGCGGAGCCCGAGCTGTGCCGCGCACTGCCGTCCTATCTAATCTAATCATACAGTAGATAACGATGTGTCCGTATCAGGCAGGTAGTACAGAGATCACGGGTTCGAGCCCGCGAAAGGGAAAAATTAAAAAATGGCTAGACGCCATGTCAACTCATGACAAGCGGACCGCTCCGGATATGGGGACCTGGAGCTACGCAACAAGTACCTGAGTGGCATCCCCTCCCGTGTGTACCACAAGATTGAGCTTGAGACCTTCACCATGTGGCAAGGAGCTGAGGAGCACATCACTGAAGTCGAGCAGATCCTCGACATCAGCTGGGCCCAACATATCAAAAGGTGACGCAGGGAGCAGTTGCACAGGACTAGCACTGAGGGACTGAATGCCACAAGTGGGGCTGAAGTCGAAGTGGGTCACAAAAGTGTCAATTAAAGGACGCTACAGCAGGTCTTTATATACATGAGCAGGGGAAAGCATTCCCACGGCAGAACAATAGAAGAAAGAACAATAGAGTCCAAAAGGAGAACAAGGGCCACTTGGCCACAGGAACAATGGAACAAAAGAAGTGTGGCCGGAGCTCTGCTCCGGTCCGATTGCTCCGCAATTGATACAACCATGTGGTCACATGGTGTTGTGGCTCCCGCCACCGGGGGATCGTCCTAGGCCGACCAGGGGACTGTGGCAGAGCACATTGTGACATACCCCCCCTGATCTGCCAAGGTCCCACAGGGA